TCCAGTATCATCTCTGATAGGGATCCTCGTTTTACCTCCTGATTTTGGCAGAGTTTGCACCAGGCGTTAAGGACTAAGTTGAGACTCAGTTCTGCTTATCACCTACAGACTGATGGGTAGTCTGAGAAGACTATCCAATCTTTGGAGGACTTGTTGAGGGCTTGTATTTTAGATTATCTAGGGAGTTGGGAAGAAATTTTGCCTTTGGTCGAGTTCACTTATAATAACAGTTTTCATGCAAGTATAGGAATGGCACCATTTGAGGCTCTATATGGGAGGAAGTGTTGAACACCTTTGAGTTGGTTTAAAGAGGGAGAATCAATGATGGTGGGGCCAGAGATTATCTTACAAACTACCGAAAAAGTGAAACAAATTCAGGAAAGAATGAAAGTTACTTAGAGTAAGCAAAAGTCTTATGCAGACAAGAGGAGGAAACCTTTGGAGTTTTCAAAGGGAGAACATGTATTTTTGAAGGTAACTCCTACCATAGGTGTGGGAAGAGCTATTAAAGCTAAGAAGTTGAATCCTAAGTTTATTAGGCCATATCAAATTCTCAAGAGGATTGGATCAGTGACATATCAGATTGCATTACCTTCATTCCTGTCTAATTTGCATGATGTGTTCCATGTTTCACAACTGAGGAAGTATATTCACGATCCGAGTCATGTCTTGGAATCAGAGGCAGTGCAAGTTAAGGAGAATTTAACTTTTGAGAAATAGCCAGTCTTAGTGGTAGATAAGAAAGTTAAACAGTTGCGGGGTAAATCTATCAATTTGGTAAAGGTTATTTGGGATGAGGTTACAAATGAAGCCACTTGGGAGTTGGAAGATAGGATGAAGGATCAATACCCATATCTCTTTATGAGTAAGTGAATTTTCGGGGACGAAAATTTTTGTTGTTGGGGAGAGTTGTAACGCCATGGAAAAACCGAGCTATTTGGTAGATATACTCTATATATATGTATGTATGTATGTATGCATGCATGTATGTATATGTTGTTTATATGGATTTGGATTGGATTATGGAGATGTGGATTTGAAATGTACTTACCTCTGTGCATGTTATATGTTGATGCGGTTTTGATTAGTTGTTTAAGCATGGTAGTGATTTTATAGTATGAGATGAGAGGTTGATGTTTTGAGAGGTTTATATAGGCATGTGTGTGCATAAATTTGGTGAATGATGCATTGTACACCATTATAATGAATTGGTACTAAGAGGGAAAAAGACTGATCACCTTCCTTCTCATCTTGGTTAAGTGAAGTATTATGGCATGTAACTCATTATTCCAAGCATATGTATCTGAAAATGATGTTTGTTTGTGTGTTAATACATGTTGCATTTCATATGGTGGTGAGTTGTGCGTATTGCATGGAAATGAATAGGATGGGTAGGAGATTGAAGGATAGGAACATAAGATAAATCCGATCTTTCTAAGTGAATTTGAGGTTGTTTTAGAGTTTAAGGAGTTGAAATACTTCAAGGAATAGAATATTTGAGGTGAATAGTTGCTAACGGTGAAATTTAGAAATTTCCGAAAATGGCTATATATAGGGACTTAGGACCGGAGGGTCTCATTTGTCAGACAGGGACAGTTCTAGAGAGAGAAAGTAGAGAGAGGGGCTCTGGTCCGGAGGGAAGCTGAGGACACATTTGGGAAGCTTCTCAAGCCAGGATCAATCTTCACAACTAGAGTATTAAGATATTTAGCCTCTAGAAGCTTGAAAAGTGAGATTGAAGTTTGAGTTGGGATTTGAGGGTTTTGTCCAAATCTTGCATTTCTGAGGTTTCTAAGGTAAGGGTAGTATTTATAAGACTTAATCTAGTATGTATGGGTTTGAAATATCATATTAATTCCATGATTTATGCCTGATTAAGGATGGATTGAGGGGCAAGGGTTTTGGTTGGGGTTTCTTCATGATTTCCATGGATTAATGGTTAATACTTGATTTTATTGCTTAAAATGTTGTTTTTGGATATTGTTTATGCTTTATAATGGTTCGAACTCATGTAATTTGGATTGGATACATGATTGGAAGGAATTTTCAAGGTTTTTGAGGGTTTTCTGGTTGTAAATGTGTCAGGCGCAGTTCTTAGCGCCGGACGTGAATTCATCAGAGACCATCATTGCCAAATCACGCCGGGCGCGAGGTTAGTCGTTCCGGATGCAATTTGAAATGAGAATCCCTAAGTGAATCACGTCGGGCGTGGGGATAACCATTTCGAGTGCACTATCAGATGTGGTCCTTGTGTTTTGGTTACTGATTGCGTCGGGCGCAACATAATTGCGCCGGGCGCAATGAATCTGTAGGTCTCTGTTTGAGTTTTGCGCCGGGCGGGATATTAGTGGGCTGGCCGTGAGTATGTTGGTCTTGAAGTCTTCATGAAAGTTGTAGCATTGGATGTTAGCTTTCCAATGGCGTTGAAATCACTCAAAAAGGAGGTCTAGAACTCCAGATATGACTGTTTTAGTGAACAGGGGTCAAGTTGCCAGCATTGGTTATAGTTGTTGGGGTTTTTAGAATTTTTAACAAAGTATATGATGGAATTAGGACTTGATGTCTTCATAAGAGTTGTAGTAAATCTTCTTATCTTTCATATGAGATAAAGATAAGCATGATAGGAGTAGTACAACTCTTTATATGCTATTTTATGTGAAGATTTTCATTTCACAAAGAGTGATTTGGTTAAGTTGATAGTTGTTTTGGGTGTTTAATTATTTATGTTTTTATATTGAGTAATTTGGCATGGTTAAGGAAAAGTTTGTATGTAATTATGGAATATGTTATGTGTGTTTGGTTTGGAAAGCTAATAGAACTTAGAGGAGTAAGGTTATGGTATGGATTGGGAGATCTCTTGCTGAGATCAGGATATAATCTTTGGGAAAATATGGAATTTGGGAGTCCGATGGTGAGGATTCCAATATGGAACTTTTCCAAAGATTATATAATAAACCATTTCAGATGTTAGGTGGATTCTGAAGTACTCCTCTAAGTATTCTATTTGCTACCAGTATGGAGGCAATGTCGAGTCATATCGATGGATGAAGTGGCCGCGATCACCAGGGTTACGTGATGACGTAACCCAACTGTATATTTTCCATGAGAGGTTAGGTGTGTGACGTGGGCAGGTGACAGGTTCACGAATTCAACACTTGGTTTGGATGTGTTGAGATCAACATTTGGTTTGGATGTGTTGGCTACTTCATAGGATTATACAGTGGTGTGACTTTAGTTTGGATGTGGAATATGTATTCATTTGGTATGTATTGTATACATTGGTTATCGGTGGCAAGTGAAGATTTGTTCCACCTTCATTTCCCAATCTAGGTACCCCTCCACATCATCTTTTCCATGAAAATAAGGTAGATCTACCCTAGATTCCCTTGTCTTAGAGGTCCTATGGACACTTCTAGGAGGTTGTTGATAATGATCTCTTAAGGCTAGGCTATCATGCATTGACTCTCCTAGAGTGGAACTATTGGTGTATGAGCTATGTTTATCATGATGTTTCTTTTTGGCTTTTTCCTTTAATAGACGAATTTCCTCCTCCATAAGAGCAATTTGAGCTTCTCTTTCAAATTTTTCTCTAAGTCTTTGTTGTGATTCTTGCTCTTTCCATAGCTTTAGTGATCTTAATTCACATGACAACTTAGCAAAATCTTTATTATCACTCGAATTAGTATCACTATGAGGAGTAGAAAATTCTTCCATTATAGGTGAAAGATTATTTTTGAAGAAAGAAGTTTGAAAAGCAATTTTTTAAGCAAGGTTAAGACTAAGTACTTGGAGGAATAAGTATACAAATTGAACTTTGGAGGGAGGTGCGTGTCCTAGGGTGAGAGCTTGAGAGATACCAAAGATCAATCAAGGACCACTCTCACCAAGTTCTAACGAAAATGAACACCTAAGGAGAGATGGTTGTGTACCAAAGACACACCCAAGACACTCCTTCAAATGGCCAATTACAAGGTAAATACAAAGCTAAATAGCAAAGAACAAGTGGCTTAAAAAGAAATTAGAAAACAGCCACCAAGAATTAGTGAGGGATTAGTGACCAATTTTGCAACAAAATTTCAAGTTAGTAAAGAAAAGTTGGTCTCTAAATCCGTCACTAATGCTTCTATTTTATTTTTTTTTAAATTCAATTACAAAACAAATTTT